GGGGGGGTGTCCAAAACAATTCCATCTCTTGAGCTGTATTCTAAGAAAACTGCTTCAATGAGAGAGGAGACAAAATGGGCATTCTTACTGCTGATGGGGGCATTAATCCCTATAGCCCTCTTGGAGAGCAATTCGTTTTTTTCCCAACAAAAATATATTGAAGGCCTTTGATATGCTAGGTACCAGTTTTGAGTTTTGGGGATATAGGAATGGACAGTGAGAGGAGGGCCTCATAGAGTAAATAAGGTAAATGAAAACGTGATGAGTACTGTGAATAAAATATATCCATGCTGGCTGGAGAAGCAAGGCGAGCCTCCTGAGGGAACACTCGCGAAGAAGAGTAGGCAGTGCTCAGGCGAGATCTGCCATTTGGGCCTGCTAGGCAGCAAACGAAGGGAAAGGATGAGGGTCCTGAGGTGACAGGGAGTAGGTTCCATCCAGGGCAGAAGAGAAAGCTAGTGTGCTGGATCCTCAGAGGTCAGAGAGGTCAGGCCCAGGCTGGGTCATGTCAGGCCTCGGGTGCCAGGGTACAGTTCTTTTATTCACAATGCAATGGGGAGCTATCAGTTTTAAGCTGGGAAGGGGCATGACGTGTGTGGTCTGCATTTGAGAAAGATTATTTTTAAAGGGAGCTAAAGTACATATCAAGAAACTCAGAACATTCATGTCTCTTGAAGTCCCACTCCTGGGAATTTGCTTTAGAAAGCGATCTGAAATTGCAGTGGGTGTCATTGTTTTGGTCAGTCTGCATTCAGTCTTGAGTTCTGGGAATGGCCACCCATTCTCTTTGGGGAATCACACTATTCCCTCAAGTATTTCATTAACTCACTTGATAAATATTTATTGAGTGCTGGGTAGAGCTGCATTGTTAGCCCTCATGGTTCCCATCGAAGGAGACAATTCACATGCGTGCCACATGAATATATAGAAGAGCCTCAGGTAGTAATATGTCTACAAGAGAAACCAAGCAGGTAGAGAGGAAGAGAGTGGAGAGGTGATCAGGAAAGTCCCTGAGTGTGGACAGAAGGAAGTGAGGGGGTAGCAAGCCATGGGGACATTGGGGGAAGAGTGTGCAACACAGAAGGGACTCAGAACAGTGGCTCTGGGTGAAGGGCAGGCTGATGGGTTCAAGAACAGCAAAGAGTCCAGGAGTGCAGGGCCAGGATGACGGGAGTGAGGTGGGAGAGGGAGCAGGGATGTCCTGTGGGCCGACCAGAACATTTCCCCACCTTGACCCGGTGACTGGCTCAGGGAGAGATGTTTGACCCCAGTCCTGCTAGTGGGCCTCAATCCTCGGACTTCTGCTGGAAATATCAGGAAAGAGCTGTCTTTCTTCTGTGAGGATGTAAAGGAACTGGCCTGAGAATAAAATCAGCACAGAGGGAAGCTGGTTCAGGAGACAGAGAGATGGATGCCTGAAAACACCATTGAGTTCAGCAGCCTGAAGCTAATCTCTGCCCTAGTTTATTAGCCATTGCAGGCCAATACATTTCCTTTTTGGTTTAAGCCAGTGTGAATTATTTTTTGTGATTTGCAACCTTAAGTCTTTGTCCAATACAACAGTATTAAAAAAGTTTTATGTATAAAGATGCGAACTGCAGAATTATTTATGATAGCAAAATACTGGAAGCAACTTCAGTGTCCCAAAATGGTTATAAAACATCATCCCATAATAGAATACTATGCATTCATTACAACTGGTGCCACAGAACTTAGGAGTAACATGAGAAACTGGATGTTTTCAAGAAAAAAGTAGAAATTCTGTATACAGCATGATCTCAATTATGTAAATATATACTCATAAAGCAACCCCCCCAAAAAGTGGAAATTAACACAAAGCAAATGCAAATGGTGGGATTTAAAAAACTCTTACATTTATCTTTTTTACTTTTTTTCAGTCTTCCAATTTTTCTCTAGAGTGCATTCCTTTTTAATAATTATAAAAAGGAAACATTAAAATTTTATAAGGTAACATGCAAAGAAATTGGAAACAAATGACCTCTTAAATACATAAAGTGTCTTGAATCTCAAATGTCAAGGATCACAAGCCACTGCTGACCCCCAGACATAAGGACATGTACTTGATACCACATTTGCCATCTAGTTCTTTTCATTCATCCGAGCATAATGGCATCTCTCTAGTGACAAAGCATAAAGTAGTACATTTTCAAAGTGCCAAAATTCTGAGACCACTAGTGCACAGGTGGAAAACTGTCCGGCTGTCTGTTATACTAGATGACCAATAAGCTAACGACAAGCCCTCTGCTAAAAGCAGTTTATTTCTTATACCCTGAAGATCAGGCCTTTTACCAAAAACATCAGCAAACTTATGAGTATAAACTATTGCTTTACAACAGAATCTACGCAGTGTGCAAAAGCTTTTGAAATAAGCAGCGCACTATTTGCCAGTCGGGCTGCCCGAACACACACACAGCGGCCCAGGGCGTGTGTAGAATCAGGGAGAGCACACTGGTCGCTGCCACCACCACCACCACCATGCCCAATTACTACAGTTTAGTCTCAAATCACTTTAATAAACAATTTCAAACATCTTGGTATCCTTAGCCATGAGTTGTTTTATTCTAGATGTTACTTAGCAATTTCCTGGATCATTGAATAATTTAGCAAAATTTATCCTTGGGTTAGACTAGTTAGAATGGCACTTTCAAAATTCTTGTCCACTCCATCTCTGATGAATTCTTAGGTTTTGAACAGAACTCACCAACCTCATTTCTTGGTTCATCCATTTTGAGTTACATAAAGACAAAAACATGGCAAGGACTTTTTAGCAGGAAAAGAATTTCTTTTTGTTTTTCAACATCCCTATAATTCAGACGGCTGAGGAAATCTTGGATCTGGAAGGCTTAGAAAGTCAAAGCCCCCTCAAGGCACTTTAAAAAAAATGTTAATTAAGAGAAAGTAAAAAACAGTATTTGTAATGGAAAATTTTGTTGCATAATGGATGTTCCTTAAATTGTAATTCATCCTGTGAATTTCAGATTGTGGCCAAGTGTTAAGTCTTAGGTGCAATACAACATGGAGATCTGCTGGTGTTAACTGATATCCTAGAGCAGTGGAAAACACAATGGGCACTAATGCAGAGTTAGAGTGACTAATGCAGGAGTTCTATCTGGAAAAAATAAAAAGGTCCATCAGACAAATATTAAAAGTCACAACAAAATGCATTGCAAAACCCACAAATGGAGTTTTCATTCCATCCCTAGTTCCATCAAAATGCTCCCAGTCACAAACTTGGAGGTTCTGGAGAGGGCTCCACATGCCAGGATCCCTTCTGCTGCCTACTTCTGAAGTTTTATTAGGTGCCATATGCGTTTTCACACCCATTTGTCTTTTAGAGGGTGTGAAGGGCTTTCTTCCTGAAGCACACTGGGCTGTAAAGTGCCATTAAAACCTCGGCCCCCATCTAGCCTAGGGGGTAAATATCATGTCCCCTCATTTGGATAGATGTCTCAGTTCGAAAACTTGAAACTTTTCCTTCCAACCTGGACTTTAAAGACAGGGCCGCTTCCTGGGCCTCTTGTGACTGAATGTCATGAGCCAAGGAATAGGCTGGTCAGCCTGGAGAAGAAAACGTGAGTTTGATTTAACCCTGTCATCCTGGAAGGATAGCTTTCATAGAAAGACCTCAGAACTGCTGATTGGGCCCCAAAGCCTCATGCAAGCTGCTCTCTCTGCTTGGGACGCCTCCCCCGCCCCCTCTGCTCCCGGCCACCCTCGGGGCTCGCAGTGGGATCCCTCAGCAAGCCTTCACTGGCAACTTCCTCAGGCCTTGTTCTAACGGCCACCGGGGTGTCTTCCACCTCCTTCTCCGACATGAAGCTCCTTTAGGGCAAGGATTAGATCTTATTTCTAATCTGCCCCTAGACAGTGTTCCATGCAAAAGTGCTGCTCAATAATTAAGTTTAGTACCAATCACCAAAAAGAATATACTGCATTTATACTATGAGGCACTTACAATCTCTCAGGGCTATAAAGATTGTTAAACATTGGCATTTGTCTTTCAACTGTCTCCACTCTTTTTCAAAGACTGTTACCTTTTTAAAAATATACTTTCCCTCTTTATTTTCTGAGGTGAGGTCTGAAGAACATGGTAGAAACAGATTGGCACACATGAGGTGGGTGGCAAGCAGGAAGGGGAAAGACCCCGGGGGCAGTGAGCCGTTAGTGGCAGCGTTTGTGATGAACGGCAGCTGGCTTCAGTGCGGCGCGTCGGTTGGGAGTGTGGCACGCTGCTGACAGGCGCGACCTGGAGCTCCCCGGGCAGGGTCCTGCCTTAGCTCAGGCTGCTCCAACAAAACACCACCGACTGGCCCGGCCGGCGTGGCTCAGCGGTTGAGCAGCGACCCAGGATCCAGGAGATCATGGTTTGATTCCCGGTCAGGGCACATGCCTGGGTTGCGGGCTCGATCCCCAGTCAGGGGCGTGCAGGAGGCAGCCGATCAATGACTCTCATCATTGATGTTTCTCTCTCTCTCTCTCTCCCTCTCCCTTCCTCTCTCTGAAATCAATAAAAATATTTTTAAAAATACTATAGACTGGGTGGCTTATAAACAACAGAAATGTGTTTCTAACCATTTTGGAGGCTGGGATCCAAGATGAAGGCACCGGCAGAGTCAGGGTCTGGGGAGTACCCTCCTCCTTGCTCACAGACGCCAGATTTTGCTGTGTCCTCACAGGGTGGAAGGGGCAAGGAGCTTCTCCATCCCTGTGACCCAATCACCTCTTAAAGGGCCACCTCCAAATACCATCACCTTGGGGATTAGGTTTCAACATATGAATTTGTATGTGTGAGAGTGTGTGTGGGGGGGGGCACAGACATTCAGTCTATAGCAGGTCCCAACCTCCTACTCCCAGCCCCAATCAATGAATGGCTCCACCATCCCCCTAATTGTTCAAGCCGAAACCCATCCTTGATTTCTTCTGCCTTCTTTTACATTTCACATCCAAGCCCAGCAGCAAGTTCACTGGTAGCTCTGCAACACATCCTAAATATCCATGACTCGTGCTCTCCGCTGCTACCTGCTAAAGGCACAGTATTTCTGGTTCTGCCGAGTTGATGGGTAGACCTCCCAACAGTCTCTCTGTTTCAGATCCTGTGCCTGCCCAGTTCAGCCTCCACAAGCTGTCAGAGTGGTCTTTTAAGGATAAATCAGGTCAAGAGTGATACATCATATATATTATCTTAAATTGTATAGTTTGCTGATGCCTGCAAGCTATTCAAAGAATTTTTAAAAAATTCTTATCTTAAAAAATTTCCCACCTAATAAAGAAAAAATGAATGTTAAAATCATTGTCAATCATACCTCAATAAAGCTGAAAAAGAAAAACCAGATCACATTCCTCCTGTGTAACACCCGTCAGTGGTTTCCCACTGCATGTAGGCTATTAGCCAGACTCGAGTGCCACCTCCCGAAGAGAGCCCTGTGGGATCCAGCCCCAGCTCCTCACTGTCCTCCACACTCACCGGTTTTCCTTAGGGACCTTGACTGTGGCTCTCTCCTGACTCAGGGCTTTGGAACCTCCTGATGTCTCTGCAACACCCTCTCCTTGCCCCCACTCTTTGCCTAAACAATTCCTCCAACATCCTTACAGTATCAGCTTCGATGTCACTACCTCAGAGAAGGTTCCTGCTCTACCCAAATCTAATTAGGTATCTTCCCTGCACATCACACAAGCAAACCTTATTTATCCTTCATAGCAATTAACACACTTTACAAATGTGGGGGGTATTTATCCAATATTGCATCATTCTGTAAGTTCCATGAAGGCAAGGATCCTAGTTTACTCAAATTTGAATTTAGAAAGATACCAAGAATTTACAAAGACATCATGTTGCCTTCTATGACAAACAATTGCCATAATAACCAGATCTAAAAGTTCATTTAAAAGAAGACAATGTCTAAGTGTTTATTTCTTACCTTTTACCACACTTAAAGTACCTTATTGGTTCTGTTGAGTTGCTGGTGGGCTGTTGTCTTAAGTGTATCACCAGCCCTTTGTAGTAGCCATCCTGACATTGTTTGATTTTGTGCCTGTTCACTCTAGAAGGATTGAGGATGTTTTTAATTTTAAAAAGTTTAAACCTTTTAATAATATGCAACATGGAAATAATTTGAAATGCCCTAGGGTTCTGGTGCTCAAACTTAATTGTGCATCAGGATTATCTAGAGGGCTTGTCAGATTTCCAGGCTCCCCTCAGTGTCTGAGTCTGTAAGTTTGGGCTGAGACTCCGTATTTCTATCAACTCCTTGGGTGATGCTGATGCTGCTGGTCCAGGGTACAAACTTCAAAAACCACTGCTCTGGGATGTCACAGAACCAGGGTTTGTAATCACTGAATTCGTTTGGTTACTCATTCATAAAGAAAGACACCCACAGTGCTCTGGCTAATCCACTCCCCCATCAGCCTCAGGTTAGATCTTTTTGTATTATGTGCAGTTGAACCACACAAGAATACTGAAGTTGGAAAGGACTAGTTGTGACAGTTGCTAATATTTCTCTACTGCACTGTAAATCCCCTCACACAAAAATCTCAAAAATATTTCTTGAGTAGTGTGTCACCCAAAATGATTGGTATTCAATTTTTTTAAATTATCACTATCTTGGTAAATCACAACTATTTAATGAGTACTTTTTGGCTTAATAGAGGAGGTAATTAACACTTACCTTGTCATATTAGAAATAAATGTCTATGTGAACCCATGAGAAGTTGTGTGTGTGTGTAAAGAGACGAGACTCAATTTGTATTTCCAAGGAGCAGAAGACAAATTTGAATATTTCTTGTTCTTTGTTTTTATTTAACTCAAAATAGCTAATAACAAAAACATTAAAAAAATATTTCCAACACTTGACTATTCAGTTATTTTTGGTTGATGCCACTTGATTATTCAGTTCTTGCTTGTTTCTAATACATGGTAACATACCTATCATAAATATGCCTCTAAAAAGTTTGCAGCAGGCTTTAAACTTGTATATTTATATCCTAATCAAATAACAGGATTCAGTAATTAGCTTTGAATCTAAATATTCTTCTCCCACACAGAAGCTTATTAAAATTAATAATCATAAATAGTCTAGCTATTAGTTAATTAGTTTTCAATGAAATGCCCAAATACAGCACATACATACAGGTCGCATATATGCTTATATCCTTTACTACTCAAATTATGAACGTCTGTAAGATGTACAGTGCAGTCCTATCATAAACACATTTAACTTACATTAATTCAAGATATGAGGTCAGTGAAAAGGAAGCAGTAAGAAAAAGAACTGTAAATCCCGTGGCAATGTGACCTATTCAATGAATGGACACCCTTGAGTAAACCAAGCTGAGTGTTGTCCCTACGGAGTCCCCTCAGTCACTGTCAGCTCACATTCTGCCTCTCAGAGGGCAAGCATCTTGCAGGGGTAACTGTGATTCTAGTGTTTAAAGGTATGTGTTTTTGATATAAAATAGCCCCCAAACAAACATCAACAACTTTATTTGGTCCTCAACAGAACCAATAGTCGTTTCTTCCAATACTGGAGGAAAAACTGGTCATTGTAGATGGACAGGTTTCCAACATGATGCCTTCCTAAAGGGCTTTTGAGGATAATCTTAACACCCCATTTTATCTCATGTACAGACATTAGAAGCTAACCCCTGGGTATGATGCAACTCCACTGTAATGTCAATAAAAAATGCCATGATTTAAAATGTGCCCTACGACTGTCAGCATAATTTAATTTCCAGTGTAGTGCCTTCCTCACAGTGAGCAGTGTGTGTTTCTGTGATACCCTCCTGGTGCCAGCACTTCAGAATGTATCTAACCCTGGCCGAGAAAACCGCATAATGACAACATTAGTGTGTCACAAAATCTGAACAAGAAAGCTACCAGCGTTGATCAGCCTCAATATGATTCAGGGTAAGAGTTTCAATTAGCAAATGGTACCAACGAAGCCCAGAGTCCCTTTGTTTTATCCCACTGGGGGCTCCTGGGGATCCACCGGAGCCTCCTTTTCATGCGACTCTAAATTGGCAGCTACATTCTACTTCTTAAACATTTGGCCTCAACCTCAGCACAGCCCTGGTTCAGCTTCTATTTTTAAAAGCACCATTCTAATGGAAATGTCCCTGCCCTGGGTTAAGCTTGGGCAGTGAATTTTACCACCAGCTCGAGCTGTTGTGTCATAGAGCTTAGGTTCATTTGGTAGGTATCGATTTCCTTGACTGCAACTCTGAAACCGGCTTCAGCTTCTTCTGGCCACACAGGCTTTCTACCTGGGCTGGAGGTGAGGGTAGAATATCCCATGGAGAACTCCTTCAATAACCACGTTTGGAAAATCTGAAAAATAAAAGGAAAACTGCTTTTCTTATGCGCATCGGTAAAAATATCATCACATTCTGCAGAAGTGAACAAGGGAAGGCCCACCGAGGCTCGGGAATCTGCAGCGCCACGCAGTTTGGCTTCCGAGGTGCCATCCGTCACGGGCTGCGGGCTGGAGCCACTTTAGCGTAGCGCGGGCGCGGCAGGAATGCGCGGCCAGATTTGTAGCTTATTGATTTAAGGGATGTTCTAATGGTTAATGCTGCTGGGCCCCAGCTCTTTATCTGAATGGTTTCTCACAAGGAAGATGGATTACACTGGCAATTCAATTTCTAACAAAATCTCAATATACTGGAAGGAATTCCAAGATTTCTACTGGGAATACTTCGCTGCAGTTTTTCCACTGTGGTTTACAGCGGCCAGTGCAGTCGGCCCAAACGGTCTCGGGGACGCCTGTTCCATTACGCTGGCTTCCAGGGAGCAGGGAGACGGGGGCCTGGCTTCCAAACTTAAAAGGGCAAATTTCCGACAAAAGCCACCCTGTCAAAGTGGAAAATAAGCTGCATTTTTATAGGAGATACAAAGGAAACCCAGAACTGCATGCTGCGTCCCAGTTATCAGGGCGGGTAACATATGAGTGCATCACTGGGACAAGGGAACCAATCTATCACGTGACTCAGAGTTTATTTTCTAAGCTTCAATCTGCACGTAAGTGTATGCGGGATTTATGCTAAAGCCAACTGCTTGAAATAAATATAGTTATAAGGAAATTAAATGGTCCAATACTTAAGACAAAAAAAATAATACGTTTATTTATTAATCTAACCTCTACAGAGTACCTACTGTGTGAAATCACTTATAATGGGGGAGGGGGTCAGATCTCATCAGGGAGGGTGGACAGGCTCCTGGAGGAGGGGGTGAGGAAGAGGAAGCTAATCAGGTGGAAAGTCTGTGCAGAAGGGAACCTGGATGGTCAAAGGCCTAAAGGAAGCCCAGGGTAGCAGGAGGAGCAGCTGTGAGGAGGCCTGAGGGTGGGGGTAGGGTTG